GTCAGCTCTGACCTTGAAATCTGCGGGCCGGCCACAGCTGATAGGGGATTGGCAAACGTGGGAGAGGCTGTCCGTGCCCCCATCTACCGCCGCGACCATGAACTGCCACCGGGGCCGACGAGCACGTGCAACGAGCTTTGGTCCCAATCCCAGGAAAAGCGCGGTAGCTAGATACCGACTACGCACGCAAAACGAGCCGGAAGGAGGGAGCGCCGAAGCGGAGGAGGAGGTGGAGGAGGAGGAGGAGGAGGGAGAGGGAGACGACTAATGACCGCTCACGACAAGAGAATGGCATAACGCGCGCGCGAAGCGCAGTTTGCAGAGAAAACGAGCCAAGCGATGGATGAGGACGATTACCTCGGAAGCGCAGAGCTGGCTACCTACCACACCTACGGTCGCGACAACGACTGGTTATTTGATTTGACCCGCTTCGGCTCTGGTCCATGTGAAAGCAGCCACCACGGGCTGGGGGGGGGGAGGGCGACGTACCTACTTGCTCGATAACCCGGTGGCATCTTTGTTTCTATTACCAGATATTACCAGATAGAAACAAAACACACGGTTCTTCTTACCTCCCCCTGTCTCGTCGTACCCTTCTTTCGTTTACCCTGTTCCCCCCCTTCTCGTCCTTTTCCCACACAAAACACAACACACAACACACCACGCACACACAACACGCACCATTATGCCACGAAGTCCCGCCTCACACAATAGTAGGCTACGCCAGGTGTTCCACGTACTTACCCAAATCCTTCCTTTCTGGCCGTTGATCGGGATCCACGATTCAAAACAGAGAATCCCATCCACTCACCCAAATCCTTCCTTTCTGGCCGTTGATCTTCGTGATCCACGATTCAAAACAGAGAATCCCATCCGAGTGAATAGATGGGAATAGGACCCTGCCCAGTCACCCGCCCGTTCGCACAGTTCAATGTGCGGCAAAGGAGGGCAGAAAAAAGGCCTGCGCAACCATCTTCACCGTCCACTCAGCTGACGGGGAATCCCTCCCGTTGACTTCTCCATAATCATTGTTGTCACCTCACCCTGCTAAAAAAAAACGACGCGGCGCATCAACGGCTGCATTGAATGGAGGTCGGGAAAGGAAAGCACCGATCCGTCACTGCAGCTGGCCGCACGACTGGTGGCTTAGCATCCCAAAAAACAAAAAAAACATTCATGCGGTATTCTACTTGTCAAAAAATAAGAAAAACGCCTTTAGCGGATGATCTACTAGCCCTGTCAGTTAAACCACCAGTACCTCGCCCTGCTTGGAAAATCCGACGGGCCGTTAACGCGCCGCGTCGGGCGGGGTACCCACAGACCGGCGACCGGTAGTCCCAAAAAAACGGGTGCGAAAAAAAAAAAAAAAAAAAAACAATGGCTCCGAAAATGTAAA